AGATCTGATTGGTCAGTTCGGCCACACCAGCAAAACGGTGTCTTCGCAGTAACCTTTTCACCACAACAAAATTTCCTGGAATTAACCTTCATCTGCTCTTCTGGGAAACCTCATAAGTACCTTTCAGTCTTCTTCAAATATTAAAGGTTTTTGATCCACTCTAAAGCAACATTTCAGTCAGATTCATCGTATTATAATGGCTTAAGCTAGCCTGTGAATAAATGCATATACATAAGCATATACAAATACACATATATATATATATATATATATATATATATATATACATATATATATAACACACAAACACAACACAAATAATATGAATGAAATTAAACCATGTTTGTCTGTACGATAGGCCTACAATACATACATGACTCCAACATGTGACAAACTAGATACCCAAAATCATCACTGCTCCAAAGGCATTGCTCCTCCAAATTCTCCCATAAAGACGTAGATTTCCAGTATGAAAGCAAAAATAAATGCGAAAGTCCAGAAATAGTGTGATATAGTCCATTAAATTAGATTTCAGGATGAGAGAACACAAAAGATTGTTTAACAGTGCAGGATGAATCTACCGAGTCCTACTACTCATATAAAAACATGTTGTAGCTCCGCCCACATTCTCAAAACCACACCTTCCTCATTCCTAAGAAAAAAACACCTCCTGTTACTTTTAACACAGGTTGCTGGCATCATCCTGCCTTCTACTATAGCCCAGCAGAGTCACAATATAGCCTGATACACCACTCACGTCTATCTTTTTCAGACATTTCTTACACAACTCTCCCTCTCACCCCTGACCACTGCTGTTGTGTAAGACCATGGATTCCTGAGGCCGGGAGTCACAGAGCTGTTGTAAAACTTACTGGCAAGAGGGAGTTTCTGTGTTTCTCCTCTTCTCTTGTCTTCCATTTATCAAAACCATGTGTTTGAGTGGAGAAAGAGACACGTGGCACTGAGAAGGAAAGAACAGAAAGACAGAAAGAGAGGGGAAAAACAAACGAAGGGGGAAAAAGCTGTAAAATGTAATCATTGACTTGGTATTGTAGCAAAATGTATTAATAATGAAAACGTTTACGCATATTTATATAGAATATTTATAACAATTATATAAAACTAAAGGATGAAATGATGACAGAAAAATGCCAGAAAGGAGGAAAAAAAGACAAAGGAGGAGATAGATCTCACATAGAAAAATAAATGGGAATTTACTTTCGGATCCCCCTGAGAAACTCTGTATTTGCTAGCACATAATTTGAGAGAATGCAAAAGGTTTGCGAGCGAATGTGAAGTTTCACAGTGGAATGCAAAAAATGTTGTGAAGTTTTTTGAGCAAATGCAAAATTTCTTGGGGAGCGGAAAAAAAGGAATTATAATTTTCCTCCTATCTGATCTCATCTGAGCATTTCACTCAGAATCACCTTATTTCAATGGATTTAGCTAGCATAGTATGCTTTTTTTTCCTGTGTGAAAAGTTTCTCAGGGGAAAGCAAAAGCATTGAGACATAATATTTCCTAATCCCTCTATCACCATGTCCCTTTAGGGGCTCTGTAAAAACCTTTTCATAGATTGTTTATTCTAGTAAACAAACTCTAGCAAACAAACTGGACCAGAAAAATACAGATTTTAAGCATAGAGAAGCTGCACTACGATTACTTGCACAGAAAGTAGTGGCCTCGGGGCCTTTTTAAGATGGCCGCAGAGTGAAGTGACTTGTCTTAAAAGGACTTTGACAAAGTGCACAATGAAACCACAAACGTGTCGCAATAAAGTAAGCAGGGTGACGTTTGAGTTTTTGTTAACTTTATTTAATATACATATAGTAGATACAGTGCAAACTACTTATAAAATAAATCACAGCCTAATGTCTGAGCTGTTGTACAGAGCTGTTTTATTACTATTTACAAGAATAAGAGAGGGATGGAGCCAGGGAGAGTGGGGAAAAAAGTGTGAGATCAGGTCATTTAAAGGCGAGGGAAGGTGCGGGGACGGTCTGGCTACATTGGAAAGAATGAGTGAGACTAGAGGAGTACTTCCCACAAACATCTGGAAATCATCACGAATGCAATCCTGGGCCGCCAAACTGAGAACACAGAGTTCCCAATCTGCCTGTGAGCGTGCACAAACACACACAAGACACTGACAGAGAAATCAAAATGATAAACAGCTGCAGGGGAAAGACACTCACTAACGCCCCCACTGGAAACGGAAGGTACTGCAGGTGTCAGCACTAAACTCAAATTACTCAGAAAATCCACCCACATGAATTACATCAAGTTCATCCCCAGAACAGTATTCCAACAACCTAAGGACATAACAGCTCCACTAACACACTTTTTTTGTATACAATAATATAAGCACTTTTATATATTATATCAACATCATGTTAACACGTTAAAATGTATCAAATGCAATACATCAGGCTTTTGATGAACGTTTATTTGTATTTATGTCATCATTGTATTGCATAGCATTTTATGTTTTGACCCCAGCAATATAAACTACAGTCTTGATCATAAAACTAAGCATTTAATATAATCTTACTAAGACATATTATTGGTAGATATAGAGTGGCAACTGGAGTTTAAATGCATTTTAAATTAGTCTGCTCAGGGGCGATTCTATGATTTTAATTTTAGGGGGGCTCAGCCCCCAATGAGGGTAATAATAAAAAATTATAATAAATATATAAATAATGTTTTTTTTACTAATAGGGATGGTTTACTATGCAAACCTCGTTGCACATGCACTGTAATATGTATTATATTGAAAGTTACATTTTCAAATGAAAATGGCAACGTGATCGTTTCATAAAGTATGCGGTTTCATTTTTGCTGGAGGAAACAGCTGTAGTGTGATGAGGACACGCAGCGAAATTTTACAGTAGATGAGGAACCGATTGCTCCCCCATGATATTTAGTAAACTGTATTTATGACAAAGAACTGTACAGTTGCAGATATTATAACAATCTATCGATAAACACACACCTTGCCCTCTGTTTCTCGCTCTGCGCCGCCGCGGTCTGCTTATTGAAGAACGCGCTGAAAGACAGGGAGGAGCCGAAGTCTGCTGCTGTTTTCATATGAAATTTAAAGGGGTCATATGATGCGATTTAAATTTTTCCTTTCTCTTTGGAGTGTTACAAGCTCTGGCACGCCGCTTTCTGCTTTTTTTCCCCCAAGCGTTCGGGCGCTTGCGCTCCGGAGGCGTCTGCCGTTGCTAAGCAACCATGACCTCCGCTCTCCATGAAGACTCGGGAGTTTCAGCAAAGGATAAATGGATTTGCAGCACTAAAAATGGCTTGCAGTAGCTCTGCTACTAAATTTATTTAAAAATGGATATCCCTGTACAGCTATGATCAGCTGTTCCTTCATCTTGACTGAGCTTTCAATGTTGTTACGGGAAAGTATGATTGCGCGTCGCGACCGCGTCGCTTCCAGTATGAGCGCGCCTTCATTTGAAATAACGAACTTGAGCGTGCAAAAAAACGCGATATGTGAATGGCCCCTAAGTCATTATAATCCATAATTATGTCCCCACTGGATGCAACGAATGCCTTGTTTATAATGGGTTTTCATG